TCACTTTAAAGTTTATTCTTTACTTACTTTGCCTTTTACTTTTCTTATCTACATATTGGGAAGCTTAACTTATCTAGAGATGTTCTTTCGATTAGGATTGCACGGTTGAAGTTGTTCGATGCATTTGTAGAGTGCCGTGCGATGCAAGCAAGTATTTAATGCTTTTTTGCCATAACTGAAAGATACAAGAATTAAAGGATAGACGATATGGCTTCTTCAAAACTCTTTCATCTAACTTTGATCCATCGGGCCTTTTCCATATAAGACTTACTGGATGATGGTGTTCACAATCATACCCACAACTTCATGAGAAAAATGCACCTAGTGATATGACAATGTTAGGACGTGATTCTTCGAATAGGTTTGATGGGTAAATTACCAAGGTAGATAATAGATACTTTATGCACAATGTAAACTTTAAACTTATTATAGGTTTATGTGTGACATTGGATTGAATTTATCCAATAGGTTCGGAAGCTTCGCACCGTAGTCTCTCATATCCTTCTCGGTTGTTATCCCCCATTCAATGAAGGATAAAGTTTCCTTTGGATTGATCATAAACCTCTTTCTTTATAAGCAACAGTCAACAGAAGATGCACAAAGTGATTTCCGTAACACTACCAAGATCGCTCTATAGCTATATCCTCGTCCAATTTCAATAGTAATCCTCTTTCGTGTATCGTGATAAATAATTATCACGAGAGGAAGTGCAACTGGCATGGCCGTCTGAGCTACCAAATAGGGTGTCTGAACCAGTTTTTAGCCATAGCTAAGTTTCCAAAAGGATAATGATTTGAGTGGATCCATCTATACCTGTATTATTTGACTTGTATAGGGAGGCCCTTTCTTTTAGCTAGCTGTTTTGGGGAAAAAAACGTGGTAGGGACCCCCCCTCAGAGCACAAAAATGTGTCATTCCATTGGCCTTTGTTGGATTTTGTTACGTGGGAAAAATAAAAAACTTTGCATGGTTGATTACTTTCCTCTCTCTTTACGACTTTACCTATCCCTTTGCATTGCCCTTTTGTTACTACTTGTTCTGATTAGACCATAATGCAAATTTCTACGTCGAAAGCACAGTCGACATGAATAAGCAAGATAGGTTTGGTTTCTTCACTATTATAGTGCAACCATATTTGGCCGTTCTGAAAGGTGGGTTGTAAAATGTTGGACAATATTAAAGATAAGAACGAAACGTGGTTAAAACGGCAAAGACTCGAGTAACATCGTGTATGATCCACAATTAATGACAAAAAGTAGAAACCCTGATAATGTTCATACTCGATTTTAATGAAGTAGAAAGAAAGGATTTTTAATGAAGTAGAAAGAAAGAATTAAAAAAAGGTAGTTGCACCTAATGTGGGGTTGGAATACATTAATGCTCAAAAAGGAATTATTTGAGGTGGGCCTTGACCAACTTCACCCCTTACGTTCTTCTTTTTAGGAGAAAAATAGAAAAAAGATTGATAGCTCCATCATTTTCGGTGGACTGCAGCCTGTGTCATGTCTTCTCTTTCAATTTTTCTCTACCCTCTAGGGTCTGTTTGGATGTTGATACTCGAAGGCCTTTTGTGTGTGAGGTCTTTTTTTTTTTGGAGAAAGAAAGAAAAATCGCCTCTTTTTGGGAAATTGGTAAAACAGGTCACTGTTGATAATTTTTGTACATGTCATTTAGGGATGTTAGGTGGTGCTCGCTGCTCGCTGGCTTGCCTCACCACAAACACGAGCCAAGCTAGCTCGGCACACCCCAACACCAGTTACCGGCACGAACCAAGCTATATTTTTATCGTACGAGCTGCTCACTAATTTGCTGTGATTTTTATATAAAAGCATTTAGCGCGTCATCAACGATCATTTGACTGATGATCGGTGCTGCCATCACATTTTGAATCTAAAAATTGTTACTTATGTATTATAAAATATAAAATTTTTATTTTTATCTATAAATATTGTCGTTGCACTTCAAAAATTTCACCTTAATTATTGAAATGAATATTTTCATCCAAAGGTAAGCCGGATTCTTCAATATTATTTTCAAAGAAAACTAGTCGAAGTTTTCAATCTTATCTTGAGGAGCCCGTTTTAACTGGAATGAAAACTTTGATGTACTTGCCCCCCGGGGCACATCCGAGTTGGCAAAGAACGGGCATTGCTGGACTTGCAATCTCAGAGTGGGGAGTTCGATTCCTGGATGGAGCAATTGCGTGTTGTAATACTCAATTTGGATGGAGCGGATTGATGATGTAATATCCATGGAGTTGGACTTGCAATCTCAGAGTGGGGAGTTCGATTCCTGGATGGAGCAGCTAAGTGTTGTAATACTCAATTTGGGTGGGGCAGCTTGGTGATGTAATATCCATAGAGGAAGGCTCCCTTGGGGTTAGGAGTATAAATGGTGCACGGACCCTGGTCAACTTGGACATATCCCGTGGTTAACCTCCACCCATCACTGAGGGGCCGTGGATGAATGGTCCATGACATAGTCTGGTGTAAGCTGAGATATCTGGATATCAAAAAAAAAAAAAAACTTTGATGTACTTAAATATTTACGTAATGTAGTTGGGTCTAAACTATGATAAGTGAGGAGGTATTTTCTTTATTTTACTTGTACCTTTTCATTTTTAAAAAAACCGTACAGGAAATATTCCTTAATGTACAATTTTAACTTTGCTTACTTATTGTAGCAAGTCCAAAGTATAGAGGATTTTTAAAACTTATTAATAATTTTTTTGACAAAATGAAAATTTTATATTCACTATTTCCTTACAAATTTACGTCTCTATTAAACTTTCAAGCATGAAAATGTAATTATTAGTGCCCGTCTGATAGCAATTAAAATGGCCCAAAAAATTCATTTTCCTACCGTTGCATATCATTTCAGCCACAAACCTTGACCGGCCATCTCACATGCGGGCCCCCCTAACGGTCAGAATTTTTATTACAATTCGGTCAAAATCAACCCCAGACACGCTCTTAATTTTTTTTTTTCTTTAAACCAAAAAAAAAAAAAAGGGAGTCTTGAGTGACTTGCGATTCGGCTCAGCTCTTCCCACCAAGTAGCAATTGGTGGGATGAGCCGAGTAGGGTTTTTGGAAACAAGTCAACTCACATGGATTGGAACAAGTTGAGGGGCTGAATTTGGTCTATATAACATCCATAATGCCATTTGTTGGTGCACAGCTCTTGAAGTAAATCTTGAAAATTTCTAGGAAGATGTTCATTTTGCGAGACATTTGTTGGTATGTTACACAGTTTTACCTGTCTTGAAAGACAATTTTAACTCTCTCTAAAGATTGGAAGACAGATTCCCAAATATGAAGTTTGCAGCTTTCAGGAATTTGGGTTTAGTCCTTAAGGTCAAAAGTTGTTCTGGGTTTTGGAGTTCTATTCTTGAGTGGAAGAAATGGGTTACTGAAATCATTTGAACTGTAAATTTGGTGGTTATTTAACTTTTCTTGTCTTATAGTCAAGTGGTTGCATAGTACCTGCAGTACTTAGCTTCGTTTCAATTAAAAGCTGAACCCTATTCTCCTCTGGGAGTTGGGGAGAGGGGGGTCCCCTCATGTTGTAAATTGTAATATAGCACTTTGGTTGATAGTAAATTACATCGATACTAGTGAATAACTAAATCGATAGTAAACTGATCGATTATAAACATGCGACAAACAAGTGCTGAATCGATATTAGTGAATAACTTACCCATGATTACATTTGTCGGATAAGTAAATATTGGTTTTTTCTTTTTCTTGTTTACCTTCTTCTATGCTTCATTTGTGAAATCAGAAAATGGAAAAGTAATATTATAGTATGATGTGAAAAGTGGTGTCAAATAAGACAATTGGAGAGAAAAGTAGGTGGAAAATAAATCTTTGAATCATGCCGCAGTGACACAATGATTGACACAATAGTTAACATAATATACATTCACATTTTCCATTCAATTACAAAAGAACAATGCTAGTAGTACATCACACCGTACATAAGAGTGTCCATAATGGACACCCTTATGTACGGTGTGATGTACCACTAGCACAACCCATTACAAAATGCCATATACTCTTATGTCAAACAATCTGTCAGAATTTTTCTCTTAACGTGGCATTTTCCTAAATCCTTTCACCATTTTCAACCCTTTAATTTTCCTCTCCCTTCTCTTGCTTTTATTTCCTTTGTGTTTAAAAAATAGAATAAATTGAGAATAAGTGGGAATACCTATTGTGGATGTGTGCGAAAGAGTCTTCCGAAGACTCTTTATTTCTATATTTTACTTCTTAAATTATTCGAATTTTGTTATCTCTATTTATTACAGTATTTATTCTCCTTTTTGAATGGACTAGATGCTCGAAATATGCCTACTTTGAGGATGAGAGATTACGAAAAGCTTCAAAAGGGTTGATAAAAAGAATATGACTTTATTGTTCATAACTTTTCCTCCCTCCCTCCCTTTTCTTCATTTTCAAGTTCAAGACATTATGATTTCAATATTTCATTACGTGAATGACTAACAACAAACAGTGATTTTTTAACATGCTTTTAATTATTTGATTTGAAGGGTAGACGACAAATTTTGATATTTCATTGTGTCGCACAATTAATTACAACACGCGCTTTAATCAATTTGATTGAAAGGAAAGAGAAAGGACTAGTTCGATTCAAATCTTTGTCTTTTCTTCTCGTTTTTCCCTTTTTTCTGGTTTATATAAAAATTAAAGTTATGAATCAAGACAATATACAAAAAAGTTGAAATTGAAAAATAATAATATATATATAAAATATTTCTTTAAAGTAGTGGGGAGTGAGCTGAAGAAGCCATTAGAGTTCAGTGTGGAGAAAGCACACGGATGGAACATCAACTATCCACTGGCCTCCGCCACCATCTTCACTGCTCCTTCCAGTCGATTCAATCTCCGCCACTGTTGCCACCGGTTTAGCTCAAGCTCTGATTATAAATTTTTGTTTTTTTTTTTTTCCTTTCCCTGTCTTAAAAGAGTAAAAGTGAAGATGGGGTGCACGGTATCGAAGCTAGGCAACGAGGACACCGTGCGGCGGTGCAAGGAGCGGCGCCGCCTGATGAAGGAAGCAGTGCACGCCCGGCACCACCTAGCCTCTGCCCACTCCGATTACTGTCGCTCCCTCCGCATCACAGGCTCCGCCCTCGTTACGTTTGCTTCCGGTGAACCTATCTCCGTCTCTGTCCACACTCCGGCGGTCCTCCTCCGCAGTCCATCCTCCGTCTCGAACGCCGCCGCCGCCAACACTTCCAAACCCACTTTCATCCCTCCTCCTCGTCACATCCCCTCCCCTTCCCCATCTTTCCATCCCCCTCCACCGCCGCCACCCTTGTCTACCACCTCCACCAACCGCTCGCACCAGCAGCAGCCACCGCGCAGCAAAAAATCAATGAAACTCCCTCATATTCTGTCAGACTCCAGCTTCTCATCGTCCCCACCACCGCCGCCGCATAATGTCGATGGAAATTTTACCTACGACGCCAGAGCGAATTCGACTTACACCAGCACCCCCTCCCAGGCCTCCTCCGTATGGAATTGGGAGAACTTCTACCCTCCATCCCCTCCCGATTCCGAATACTTCCAGAACCTCCACACCAACAAGAATACATCCCGAATTACTCAAGAAGAAAGCCATTCTGATGGTGATGATGACGACGATGATAAAGAATCCAGCTTATCATCGTTTTCTAATACTCACGATCGGATCAATAACTATCAAAATCCTATTAGCAGAAGCAACAAGAAGAAGCAATTCGACGACAAGGCATCCAATTATTCATCGTATTCACGGTATTCAGATAGTGGGAACAGTTATGTAAGAAATCATCCTAAACAAGGTCCTGTACCAGTTCAAAGGAAAGGTCACCATCTAAAAAACTCGGAAAGCGAAGAGGAGGAGACCGAGAGAGAAGAAGTCCAGTGCAGTGAATGGGGGGACCATGACCGTTATACCAATACATCGAGCTCCTCTGATGAGGATGAAGAGGAAGATCTCAAGTCCAGATCTGATTTTGGGTCTCAGTGGAATTACGGGTCGGTGAAAAACGAGCCTGCTGCGGCTGCTGATGTGGGGAATTTGAATGTGAATTTGAATTTCAAGCCCTCTGGTAAATCCGAGAAGCTTTTCTCGGATGATAGCAAGTCATCGGTTAGTTGGGGAAATAGGAACGATGAAGGGATGAATTCTGATAGGAGGATTGTGGTGAGGCACAAGAATTTGGTAGAAATTGTGGCAGCACTCGAGGAGTATTTTGATAAGGCTGCTTCTGCCGGTGAGCAGGTGTCTGAGATGCTGGAAACTGGACGAGCTCAGCTCGATCGTAGCTTTAAGCAGTTGAAAAGTAAGTATGGTCCTGGTTTTTTGGACTAAAATTGTTCTGATGTTTTGTGTTTCAGCTTTAGCTTTTATGTTATCGAGCGACCATTTTATGTTTTCCATACTCAGTTTTGCTTACTTTCTGTTAAAAATATGATCTTTTAAATGTAATGCATCAAGATCTTACTGAATTGTTGCATATTTCAAAATTATCGGGCAACGGGATGAATTGGAATAACACATTTCGAATTGATTTTTATTTGGTGTTACAGAAACACTCTATCACTCAAGTGGAATGTTGAGTAACTTGAGCTCTACCTGGACTTCAAAACCTCCTTTGGCTGTTAAGTACCGGCTTGAGCCCAGTTCTCTTGATCAGCCAGGTGGTCCGAAGAGCCTTTTTTCAACTTTGGAACGGCTTTTGGCGTGGGAAAAGAAACTATATGAAGAAGTGAAGGTACTGATCCGAACCTCCTTTTTCATTACTTCAGGTCGTCGTCAATCTCATCTTGTGTTATTTTCTGAAATCAAGTTTTATTTTAGCTCCATGTGAATGTTTGTTGACGTATCATAGACGCAATAGTTGATTACTGCACAAAGAAATCTATTTGTTGCCTTGTATTTTGTATTCAAACGAAATTGTGGCTGAAAAGCTGGGACCTCGTGGAATTAGCACTTGTGCTATTGCATGTGGTGGCTTTGTTAAATTGGACGGTTTAAGCTTATCCACTAATGTTTGTCAAAGTACCTTTCTTGTGTTATCTTGTTTGTTGGATTCACTTTATACATGGAATGACTAATTTGCCCTGAGTAGCTGTTTATTTGGTTTGAGAAAGACAGCCTGGAATAACCTTAGGATGTTAACTGATAACATGCTAGTGGTTCTACCTTCCCAAACTAATTTTTCTTTAATGCTGGTGACAAAATATGAAGGAATACTTTTATGTTGAATAATCGTTAATATTATTACAGCTGCTGAAGTCTTCTAAATGAAATAGTCCTAGAAGTACTACTCTCAGTACAAGGAATCTAGTTAATCAGATGCTTTGTTAACTTCTTAAGTTCAGGCTGCTTCATTTTACAGTGATTTTTTTAATTATTATTATTTTTTATAAATTTTGAAGTTTGCTGACTGACAATTACTGCAGGCTAGGGAAGGTGTAAAAATTGAGCATGAAAAGAAGTTGGCTACGCTTCAAGGTCAGGAGTACAGGGGAGACGATGAAGCCAAGTTGGACAAGACAAAAACCTCAATAAAGAGACTACAATCCCTAATCATCGTCACATCTCAGGCCGTATCTACTACCTCCTCTGCTATTATTGGTCTAAGAGACTCAGACCTGGTCCCACAGCTTGTGGAACTTTGTCATGGGTAAGTTTATTCAAACTAAGCTTGTGCCTTTATGCCTAAATATATCCTTTCGTCTTTATCTCTGAAGTTTGAGGCTGTAATAGTGGATGATTACATTATGGAGACTTTATGATATTGGCCTGTGCTTTCTAGTGAAGTAGTCCTTGTGAAAATTCTTTCTTTTGGCCTTCAACGTTTTATCTATTTGTTTTTATGATTTTCCACCTCTCTTTTCTTCTTTCACAGTTTTGAGGAAACAGGTTGGCGTCGTCTTTTGGTCCTAAAGTTTTATCTCATTTAATATTTTACTGCTTTGTTCCAGTGGTAGGCGAAACATTATGAATTTCTTTTCTCCATGTGCAATACCACTTGCCTAATCTCTCCGGACCCTCTCCACCTAGGTTATGTCTCAACTTCCATCAGCCTTGCCTCTCAAAAGTAGGCTATTGCCCAGTATGGATGGTTCATTTTGTTTCTATATGCAGACTCTTGGTGCATGTTTGGCAAAACTTAAATTTTAGCTAGTCAAACATACTTTTTTCCACACGTTTCATTAGACCCACAACTTACTATCCATTTGTTATCTACATATTCCGTAAGACCCACAACTTATAAACACTTAAAAGCACTTACAAACATGCACTTAGTTGGTTACAGTTTATAATTGCTTGTGTAAAAAGCAATTATTTAGCTTCCTATACACCTTGAGAGAGTGACGCAGATCAGAGAGAAGGCTTATAAAATATAGAGGTAGGGAAGGGCTTGAAGTTAGGTACTTGAGTTAATTGTCGTATGATCCACTAGTTATCATCATGTGTGTTGGGATGAGATTAGTCAAGATCAAAAATATTATAATGGTAAACCTCATAATTACTGTGACACTGTATTTATGGTACAGGCCAAATTTAAATAAATTCAAAAAGGATTTATTTTAGCATGCTATAAATTAATTAAGATGAGAAGTAATAGAAATAAATGGTACATTTAATTACTAATGGAGAAGCATTAGTTTACCATCTATTCAATGATCCTGCACTGCAGCAGTGTCATTATAGAAATCTTTTGGTCCCAAAGTACTAAGTTTGAAAAATCGATAGAGAGTGGCTATGAACTTAAATTTAATCTTAAAACTGCTGTTCATTTACTATTTTCTGCACATATTAATATATTTGATTTCTTTAATTATATGGGCATGCCTTTGCATGGCTAACAACCCCAGTATTATATTGGTGGAAAATGAATACAGGTTCATGTACAAGTGGAGATCAATGCATCAGTTTCATGAAGTCCAGAATGACATCGTGCAGCAAGTGCGAGGCCTTGTTAATCAAGCAAACAAAGGCGAACCAACATTTGATATGCACAGGCAGGCAACACGTGATCTCGAATCAGCTGTAGCTGCCTGGCATTCTAGTTTCTGCCACCTGATAAAATTCCAACGAGATTTTGTCCGTTCTCTCCATGGCTGGTTCAAGCTTACCCTCCTCCCTGTCAGCGGTGAGGCAACTAATGGCAACAGGGAACTATCCGAGGTTTTTGCTTTTTGTGATGAGTGGAAACTTGCACTCGATCGGATTCCCGATACAGTTGCCTCCGAAGCCATCAAAAGTTTTGTCAATGTTGTTCATTCAATATATTTGAAACAAACGGAGGAGCTCAAGATGCAGAAACGAACCGAAATTGTATCAAAGGAACTTGAGAAAAAATCTTCCTCTCTCAGGAACATTGAGAGAAAGTATTACCAAACGTACTCTATGGTTGGTATAGGTCTTCCTGATACGGGGCATGAAAATGGGCATGCTTTGGATGCACGAGACCCACTGGCCGAGAAAAAATCAGAGCTTGCAATTTGCCAAAGGCGGGTGGAAGATGAGATGCTGAAACACGCCAAGGCAGTCGAGGTGACCCGAGCAATGACACTAAACAACTTACAAACAGGCTTGCCTGGTGTTTTCCAAGCCATGACCAGTTTTTCTGCTTTGATCACAGAAGCACTGGAGGCAGTTTGCACCAGCTCCTACGCCATCAAGTAGACAAAAACTTGTATTTTAATTTATTATATATTTCTTTTTCTATTCGGGTTTTGTGGTAAGTTGGAAATAGATAGGCAGGCAGTTTTTCATGTACTCTTTTTTTGGCAATGGTCTTTTGAGATTGAGTTTTATTTCAAATATGTAAATATGTGGAATTTTGCAGTTTCTGTCACCATTTTTGTTGGTGCAGAGTGCAGACGAGAATCTCTCCTTACAGGGAATTGTTTGCATTATTGTATCAGAGATTCACTATTTTTCCAGCAGCTCAATAAATTTATCTACTGTCTGTCTAATGTGTACTCTTCTTGTCCTCTATGTTGGTTTCCATTTGCTTGTACTTTCTTCTGTTTACTCAATGACAAAATAATGGTGTAACATAGATGGCTGCCCGTTTTACAATTTGTGGACGTGCTAGGCAAGCTGCTGCACAGACTAAGCAGATTTAATTTAGAGTGTGTTTGGTAGGGATTTTTGAGGGAAGAATTGATTTATGAATAATGATATGATGGGAAATGTGTGGATGAAAAAGAAGAAAATATTATTGATGAGATGGAAAATATTATTTTATAGAAAAATGTGTGGTAGAAAATGAGAATTGATTTACTGTAGAAAATTAAAATCCCTACCAAACAGGCCCAAAATAATGGTGTAACATAGATGGCTGCTCGTTTTACATTTTGTGGACGTGCTAGGCAAGCTGCCTAAAGCAGTTCAACTTGGCCAACCAATTTTATACTCCTATGGTCAAAGTAGGAAAACGTATTTCTCAGCTAAGGTCTGGTTGCTTCCTTTTAAGCTCTTCTAATCAAACAAAACACTTTTCGGAAAAAAATTATTTGAACATGTTTAAAAGTTAGTCTCAAAATCAACGTAAAAAAGTTGGTCCAAAATATCCAAAACAGGCCCTTATAGTGAGATAACCAGAGTAAATTAAAAAAGATCAATTTTAATTGTTGATATTAGAAAAAACATAAAAGCAAAGACAGATTAGGTAAACATGTTCTGTGAATCCTCTGAAGTCTGAACTTTCCAGATTCTGTTATTTCAAGCTTTCTTCCAAACATGGAACAAGACAGATAAGAAGATGAAAAAAAAAATTAAGAAAAACAACAACTGGTTGCTAGTACTTTGCAAAAAATATTACAAGTCAGATGATAAACTGCCTCAAAGTATGGAGTGTCAGATTGCATGTTGTTTTGGCTTTTGGTTTTGTCCCACCACTCCACCCCACCTACATATGATAGTTTTGTTGACAGCTAACTTTATTTTTTAATGGAGTTTGTAGTCTTTTTTATTGATTGTTCTACTGAGTTGAGTGGATTTTTTATTGCTTAAAATGGTTATCTTGGATCTGGAGCCCCCAACTCCCCAGATGCTTCCTGTTGGGTAGTCCGGATCCAATGCAACAAAATACAAGCAAGGGGAAATTGCCCATTAGTCCACAATCTATGGATCTTGTGGTAACTTGTTACCAGAACTACTTTTCTACTTTCAATCAACACTACGAAACAATTGAGAATGGCATGGCCACAAAAATAGGTTAGCGACTAATGGTACATTTTTTTCTAAATATAATGGCAGGTGTAGGTCTACATCAAATTTTAACTTTGGTGAGAATGGTTCATTCGCCTCATCTAAAATATTAATCTTTTAAAGAGGAAATATATTTATTTATTATATATAAAACTTCAGGTCCTTTTATGTGCAAATCAATTTCATCTAGAACGTAGAAAAAGGTTTAAAAACTTGTCTATTATACCGTACAGCATAACGTGTCTAGATATCAATGTTGTGCTTAATGATTCAATGATCGTCTAGATATCATCGTTGTGCTTAGTGACGACGGTGTGTGTGAAGGAGTAGGACCTCAATAAAAGTGTGATGATTGATGAGTTCCTTTCACTATAAAGGTCTAAAGGCCTCAGAACCACAGCTTTTCAAGACTATTACTTAAAAACATTGTTTTTGCTATCAAAATTATACAGCAGATGATGATAAATATTCATTTAAGTCCATTGCAATATGACAAAGACACAAGGTGGGCATGATAACATGTAAAGTTCTCATGCATCAACACCACCCAACAGGTGCAGATATAGAGGTGAAAGATTGAGATATTATAGGTAAGAATGGGGACCAAGAAATACATTTCAAAGCCAAATAAAAAGCTACTTGCACCTTATTAATCAGTGGTGGTGTGGGTGTGGGGTTTGCTTGATCCCTTTTTTCTGTCTTATCCAACAATTTTGTTGCAATACATGTAGTTTTGAAATTATAACTTGTCTTACACTTGGTATAAAATCGCGTTACATTGTGTTTATCTTGGGTACATCGTAAGTAATTTTTTTCCAGTGACTTGAATTGCTATACCATCATGGAAATCAATATAGAGTCACCATTTCGTCGCAAGCACAAACAAAATTCAATACACACGAAATAGAATCATAACAGGTACTAAATACTTCAAAAACAATAACACTGCAAACAATAAAGAAACCGTTTGGAAGGTAAGCAAATACCTACTAGAGTTTCAATTCAAAATATAAAGACAAGGAAAAAAAAGTCCAAACTACCAAAAAAAGTAGCGTAAAAGATAAAACTAAAATAACTTCTGATATTTCTTTACTTTTGTCTTTGACTGAATTTATAAACCATTTATAAATTTGTAAAGAAAAAAAGTAAGAATTATACATTTTATTATTCTGTGTAGGTCCCCAACAATACACTGTGCACATGCATATTGGAAAGCATTGTCACTTACAATGCACTTCGACAATTAATTCTATTATGCGATGGTAAAATTGCATTAACATAAGGAACTGCTACAAGCGCCATATACTTCTCAAAGTTGGAAGGCAGACTTTCAACTAATGACACTGCTAAAACACAGGACAAGAATCATATATTCCTAAACTAAAAGAACTCAAAGTCCAGATATCTACCCCCTGACCTCATGTCTGTTCCTACTACCCTTTTGCTGCTACTGCCAACTCCAACAGGGTCGACTTGCCCAAACTTCATGGGAAGCTCGGCCTCGATTGGAATAGGCACCTCTGGTGGTGTACTGCATCGTATCAGAGCCCAGTTAACACCTTCAAAGAAAGGGTGCTGCTTGATCTCTGTTGCTCCTCTCTTTACCCCAAACCGATGTTGTGGCTCCTTAACGAGCAATCCACGGATAAGATCTCGACTGGCATAACTGGTTGCAGGCGAGTCTGGAAATTTGAGTTGTTGTCCTATTACGTTGAAAAGAGTTGCGCGATTCCCTGAGCCCTTGAAAGGGGTTTTACCATATAGTAATTCGTGTAAGAAAATACCAAATGTCCACCAATCCACTGCACTGCCATGGCCTTCACCCTTGATAATCTCAGGGGCTAAGTATTCATGGGTCCCAACAAATGACATTGACCGTGCAGCAGTGGGTTCTGCAACTAGCTCAGGCAGTGCGCTGGATGGAAATCGAAGCTCTACTCGGGGCTTTCCAGATTTTTTCTTACTTTTCTGAGGAAAAATTCGGGGAAGGAAGCATGCAGGCTGAATGCATGCTGATGTGGGCTCAATACATGCAGGCTGTACGCAGAAAGCAGCTCCTTGTTTATTAGGATCAGAATCAAGTGCAGAAGTTCTTATGAGGGTCGGTGAAACTGTACATCTCAGGGAAAGGTCAAAGTCTGAAAGCATAATGTGGCCATCTTCCCGGACCAGGACATTTTCTGGTTTCAGGTCCCTGTACACGATTCCAAGCATGTGAAGATACTCGAGCGCCAACAAAACCTCAGCTGCATAAAACCTGTACCACGAAACAAGTACAGCGTGATGGTTTTGTGCCCCACAGTAACAAATGATGACAAATAATTTAGCCTCCACTTGGCAAAATTATAAATCCATTTACAATGAAGAATAATAGTAGGTCCCATGAAATGTGTGGATAATAAATGATTGGCAGTTATGTGCCCCACAATAACAAATGATGACAAATAATTTAGCCTCCACTTGGCAAAATTATAAATCAATTTATAATGAAGAATCATAGTAGGTCCCACGAAATGTGTGGATGATAAATGATTGGCAGTTATGAACGTATGGTTGAAATTAATGTCTGACTGAATTTATAAATTGGTAGCCAAACAGAGCCTTAGCATATGAATATGTAAGCCTCCATTGGCAAATTTAAAAATCCTATATAACTTGATCAAACTTCATTTGCAACCACACATTCTAATGGACTCATAAATATTATTCACTTATCTGCCACTCATTTCTATACTTTTATAAACTAAACCATTCATACATCCTTCCCAAAAGGAGGCTAAATAATCAAAAAATGACAACCGATCATCTCTCCATAAAAAGCAACAGGGGGAGACCCACAGAACGAAGAAAGCAGCAGCAGAATTTGAATATCAGTTACTGCCTGAATATGCAAAGACAGAATTCACGCGTCTAACTAGCTTCAAATCCTGATTTCTGACAACATAACATCAAACATGAAGATAATCAAAATATAAAAATGGGAACAGTAGATACCTACGATAAGATGTGTATCCTTTAGCAAAGAATCAATGTAGTGGATACATATACACATGAAATTTGGCAGATAACGAAATAATGATAGTTATACGAGATAACAATGGACCGATTGTCAATTCTAAATCATTTTAAATTTTGAGAACTAAAATCATCTGTGCAATGCCAGATGTAAGCTAGACTCAGGATAATATCCCCATTATTGCAGCCACAAATGAAGTACATAGAAACACCACATATGTAAATACCTTGTGCATTTTATCAGAAAATCAAACAATCAGCAGAAGAATCTATATTTTCTCTCGTAATTAAAAATAATACCTACTCAACTAAAGGAATCTTCATCGTACAATGTTTTTAGTTATATAAAAAGATATAGCTTCATTATACATATTAATATTACCCATCAAGGGAGTAACATTTAGAGCATGCTAACATAGAGTTACATTAGTGAATCGCCAGGCCTAGGAAAT